CTAAGTTCTACATAAGGCCGAGTTTTTAATTTATTTAAATGGTGTTTTTAAACAATGGACCTCGAGGGTTTCTTGTAAGTGCTTTTAAATAAACTTTTCCATATGCTGTTCACAAAGAGTACGTAACGGTTAGTACATGTACTACGAGCTATGAAAACAGAATACTGGCGTTCACGGTTAAATGAAACTGCTTTAGAACGCGCTTTTGCTAAACACTAGCTAAAAATTATTTCCATAAACAGACTTGAGCTCGAAGCTATCGCAGTCGAAGTATCCAATTGCCCTTCTGTACCTGAATATTCTAGAAACTTGTTTATACCAGCGCAGCATTTCCTATAAACAGCCTACTGGGCAAAGATCCCCTAATTACACAGGGAGACCAAACGACTGTTTTCTGTAAAATATCTGTTCGGTGCACAGGTGTCCCAAGTTCACGTTACGAGTGAGTTATGTTAATTAACTTTCTCACAAGAGAGTCGGTGTCGCACAAGTCCACTTAAGGCATGACTATATAAATGCTAATTAGAACGGTTTGCTTCTATCAATGATCCTGAAAATTGGACTACTAATGTAGCTTAATGACCTTAGCAACATGAGACATTTTTAGAAGCTTAAATTTTCGTCACGTGACTTCTACTTGAGAATTAACGGTCAAAATATCTACTCTAAAATGGGGAAAGGATAATCAAAGAGCAACAAGTTCTTTTAGGTATGTTTCAGAGGCTATTAAAAAGGTTCTGAGGAATTCGCATTTTATGTGTGTTTACGTAAAACAAGAATCGGTAAATAATGGAAATGGGTCACGTGACCTGCCAATTAGTTAAATAGCTAATAGGATAAACAACCTTTCCAACCATAAAAGGCGAATTTACTATTTACACTGTTTATGTAATATTTTTTGGTGGTGAAAATTCCTAAGATTAAGGTTTGCAAACCTTCCCAGTTTAGGAAAACGTGTTTTGTGACGTCACTGATGAAGCAATGTCACGTGTTATTTGAAATCACGTTTGACGCGTTTTTTTCATTGAGCCACATTTGTAGTTCGCTTTTCAGGAGCACTGATTGAAGGAAATCGGTTTGAAAAGCATTTTACAAAATATGTATATTTAATTAGGTAGTCATGCCTTAAGTGGCCTGAGAAATAAAATATTAGGGTCATTTATACGAGGAAAAATAAGACAAGTCTTACATAGGATGCGTCTTAAATAAGACGCGAACTTTCCGTATAAACGGCACATTTTGTTTGAAATAAGACGCGGCTTAGCTAAGACGCGTCTTATTTTAGAACAGCCCTTAACACCTGTTCTTAGATAAGATGCGTCTTAGCTAAGACGAGAAAAACTTCGTATAAATGACCTTCGCGTCTTACATAAGACGCGAACGCATAGTACGCATGCGTTAATTTTTGGCGCGTCACGTTGGATTGCCGTTGCTACGGGCAACATTCACATAAAAAGGAGTCAAGTACAGAAATAAGACGTGAACCATTTATACGAGCTGTTCTCGTCTTAGATAAGACATGCTCGTATAAATGGCCCTACTGAGGTCTGCGGACGGATACCACCATTTTCACTCTTTTTTCTATAAAATAAATAAAGAAGACTTACCTTTGATTTATTCCTCTGCTTTTTGGGTGAATTCGTCGATTTAGTTGTTTTTTTTTTTTTGGCTGTTATTGTTTGACCCTTGTGACTTTCTTCAGCCAAAAAAACCGACTAGATCGATAAACGCCAAACATATGCGTGAAAGGGACTTGGAACAAAAGTAATACTAAGTAAGGGAGGTAAGAGTAAAGTGTTTAGTCTGACTTTAATGAATAAATTAATAAGAATCGAGTGAGTGAGTGATCGAGTGCCATTCGAGTGCCTCCAAAAGCCATGAGCTAATAAAAACGAGATTATTCGCTGAAAGCTTATGGAGGTAGGTACCGTATTTCCTCGAATAATAGCCGTCCCTCGATTAGTCAAGGATTAAATTAACTGCGAAAACCGTAATAAATATAAAGAACTAAAAACGAGAAGTCCAAAGACTACTGCAAGGATGACTTAAAACAACGGGTATTGTTTTTTATAACAATATTTCGGCTGGCCATACCAGCCTTCTTCAGGTTTACAGATGCTACTGAACTTATGTAGGGATCACAGTATTATATAGATGGAGAATGTCGCAGTAGAAATTGTTTAAAAGGGAGAGGCGGAAATGACGTACGAAATAAAAACTGGAAAGGAACAAATACTAAGGATATGGATTACAATAATTCGTCACGGCGGTTTAGGCCATGAGGTTCAAGAGTCATTTCCTTATCTACCAAATGCGACTCTCTGCGAGGCACGTGAAGAATGAATTTTCTCTAGTGGGATTAACTGCATGTCAGTATGAGAATGGTTTAGAGTGAGAGAGAAAGTGGTCAGAAACAGTCGTGGGTCTAGATTTAATGTTAGTTTTGTCGACTGCACGTCTGTGTTTGCTAAATCTGTCCTTGAGAGGTCGCTTATATTAGTTTCGCCTATATATTGTAAATTACAACGGTTACATTGAACCATGTAGATCACATTTTTAGTGTTACAAGTAATGTGTGAAGTGATGGAGCTTGTTTCACCTGTAGTGTAAAAGGTATAACTTGTGAGGCCGTTAGTAATGTATGGACAAGTGGCACAACAGAAGCTGTCACGCCAACAAGTATCTCTGTTGTGAGGCCTGCAAAGAAAACCAGTCAAAACGGCAAAAAGAACCAGAGCCAGAAGAAGAACCAGAAAGGCAGTAGCAACAGAAAAGATAAAAAAACAGAGCAGGAACACGGCCCGCAGAATATATTGTTAGAATCAAGTAACTCACGGCCCGGCACAAGCTTCAATCGGCAATCTGAGCAACAAGATTCAGAAAATCGGGTACAGTATGTTGTCCAGTATCCGCACACTTCAGTTTAAGATTGCAATAACTTTCCTTTGTTAATCGCAAGAGCTCTGAAATTTGGCCCAGAGAAAATCTATCTAGTCCTTAGTATGACGAAATACAGTTTAACTTTTTTGCCTTTGTTTTCATTGCGAAATTAATATTTTTGCAGAGCTCCTATGTTGCCCAGTATCCGGACAGCTGGCCCAGTATCCGGACACAACAATAACAACGTAATTGTACATAAATTTCGACAGGCAAGCGACTTATAAGCTTCTCTTGCACTTGGAAAGTAGTCTGGCAATCGATTCCAAAAATATAACCTAGCATCGTGAAACAAAACATAACAAATGACTGGGGTATGGGGGGGAACGCTAGCGGCTGTTTTAAAAATGGTATAATTCTCACTTCCTTGTCTAGGAACTTTTTCACTGATTTAAGGAAGGCATCCGTGGACATGCCGAAGCCGCAGTTTGCAAGCTCAATTAGCCAGTCTGCAAACGACTTTACTTTCTTCATTTTTTATTTTAAAAAAAGCTTGAGGAAGAGACCTCAACCCGACGGTCAAAGGTCACTCTTCTATTTAGTCTGACCTGCAGTGTTGATTTCTTCATGCTCAGTCCCCACAATAAGACTGTTTTTCTAGCACTAATTCCTCCTTCTTTCACATCTCTCCATCCCTTTGTGACATTTTTCAGACCGTTGCAACCCCATTCTAGCAGTGGCAACCGGGGAAAGTATGACAATTCCAGGTTCAACTCAGACGCTTTCAGTTATATATAGAAAATGCAGTCACGCGAAATAAGCCGTGCACACGAAATCGAGTCGCCTCTGAATGAGTGAAGAAAATTTCCATACGGAGTTGAGTAGAATTACATTTTACGACTATATCATATATCCTAAGCTTTAATTATAGTTACTGATATGAAATAAATCTTATCCGGATAATGTACACATGCACAGCTAACTCATCGATTCTGTGCAGCAAAGAAAAAACTGTCCGGATACTGGGCACATGACATCGAAACTTAGTGAATGTTTCTGGACTCCGTTATTCCAAACAAATCGAATTTCAAGAAGAATAGGCCATTTGCACTAAGAGGTCATGTGACATCGTTTTTATGAAAATGAGAGTTATATGATTTTGCCTACAAAAAATGATTAGTGGGTCATATCCTAAATAAAATAAAAGTGATTTGGTTTTTTCGAACCTACACCGTTGTCTTAAAATGAGTAAGTTTGTAGCTGGTCACGTGACCAAAATGTGATTTTGAAAATTACGAATTACTTCTTTCTGAATACAAATTTTGCACTTAAACTTCAAGGAAAATGTTGAAAAAATGATGTGGTAACGTTTGTAGCACATCTGAGCATAACTATCAAAAGTTTAACAAGATGTAAGCAAAAACTAGTTTTGGCCGCCATGTTGGAGGGCAAGAGTATGCCTTCCAACATGGCGGCCAATACAAATCATACTACTTTGTTGAAAAATCAAAGTGCCATAAAATATCTCCCTTAGATACTTTTCCTCTCAAATTTCGGGTGTAAGATAATTTTTATGTGCTCTGTCAATTTTTGGCATCAGCAGGATTCCAACTTATTGTTTAAGGTAAGTATTGGTCACTTGACCTCTTAGTGCAAGTGGCCTATTAATAAACTTCCTGAAAACCTGACTTCCTTAAGTATGTTCACTTTAAAAATAAAACAGTTTCTTTGAAAATATCACACATTACCGTCCCTTTTCTGAACAGCACTAATTTTGCTGCGCAGTAAACAGCGTAAATATTAGCCATGAAAAGTTTACTCACCTGAACAGAATGGCGTCTTCTGCGACTGTTTCGCAAGCTTTCAAGTCGCCAAAACTTTCATCTTAAAGCTGAAATGTTCAGCTTTCACTCGAAATACTTCGTTTACCGAGAACTGAAAAGGGCGCCTCAAAAATTGAGTTTTTGTTTCAAGTGTCCGGATACTGGGCAACATACTGTAGTTATTCTTGGCGATTCTACTGTGAAGGGATTACAATGGTTGAAAATGTCAAAAAATAACACTAAAGTTCAGATGAGGTGTTTCCCGGGTACTACAGTGAGCGACATGGAAAGCTATGCCATCCAACTGTTCGTACCGACCCAAGTGAGATCACACTACATGTTGGCACGAACGATCTTCGCAACAGATCTCCTCGGGAAGTCGCAGAAGATATTATAAATCTGTGCGAAGACATATCGCAGAATACCACAGCTAGTGTAACTATTTCTGGCCTCCCCCACAGAACAGACGAGCCAAGCATGGGGGACAAAGTAACCGAAACGAACAGGATTATCAAGTCATTTGTAAGTGGCCGTGACTTAAGTTTTATCGACAAAAGCAAAATAGGAAGCAGCATTCTAAACAGTAGTGGCCTGCACCTAAATCAGAAAGGTAGCGCAGCACTTGCTAAGAATATTTAGAAACTCATTAGTAATTGTTATTGATTTAAAGAAGTCAACAGCTTTTTGCCTGAATGTGAACCAAATTGTTACACAATGTATGATGATATGACCTCTGCCTTGAAAGTAAGGGGGCTTCAAAATTGCGAGTATTAATGTTGCAAGTCTCCCGCTGCATATTGAAGAGCTTCGACTAATTATGGCTGATCAGTGTCTTGATCTGCTAGCTGTTAATGAGACTAGACTCGATTCTACAATAACTGACAACTTAGTTCATATTGACGGCTATTCAATCCTAAGAAAGGATCGAAACCGTAATAGCGGCGGCGTGTGCATCTATCTTCGATCGAATATTAATTATTGCCTTTGAAATGAAATAATTCCCAATAACGAGTTTGAAATGTTAAGTTTTGATATTAAAAAGCCTAGTAGTAAAGCTTTTAACGTAACTGCGGCCTACAGGCCCCCTAGCTGTATGGTTGGCTTCTTTAATTTGAAGCTTTAGAAGCTATTGTTCGCATTATTGACATGGAATTTTAGGCCATTTAAATTGCAACTATCTATCGGATAGAAATAAAACGCACCTGTCTCAGTTGAAGCAAGTAAGTTCGACCTATCAGTTTCAACAACTAATCAATGAACCTACTAGAATCACGCCAAATTCTAGTACACTTATTGATATAATATTATCAAATGAACCCTCAAGGATTTTAAAATCAGGAGTGGTGCATATAGGATTAAGTGACCATAGCATGGTCTATGCAGTACGTAAGTTTGCCATTTCATTTAAAAACACTCATAAGCATGTGACCACTCGTTCTTTTAAAAACTTTAATGCAAGTGCTTTCAGAGAAGACCTAAAGTCAGCGCCCTGGGATAGCCTAAGAAATTGCACTACTCCCGATGAAATGGTTGAAATCTGGGAAAATTTGTTTTTAAAAATAGCTGACGCTCATGCGCCCATAAGAACGCGGCGAGTAAACAAATAAAAATCCCCTTGGATTACTACTGAGCTGAGGGAGCTGATAACAGGTCGAAACAGACTGAAAAGGCAGGCTATATTAACAAAACAGCCATCTATCTGGGATAAATATAGAAAAGAAAGAAATAGAATAAGTAATGAGATTAAAATGGCAAAAGCGAATTATTATTAATCAGAAGTGGAACAAAATGTGGGTACCCCGAAAGAAATATGGAGGACAATCAATGAGTTAACTTGTCGTAAGTGCACTAGTAATTCTTCAATACGTGAACTAAAAAGTGGTGATAATTCCTTCACAAAACCCGCAGAAATGTGTGAGATTTTAAATGACCATTTTACACCTGTCGGTCCAAACCTAGCCTCAACACTGCCTAGTGGAAATACAAGTTTTGACTTATACATAAAGCCTGTTTCCACGACTTTTAATTTACAAAACACCTCTGCCACTGAAGTTTTAAAGTTACCAGGTAAATTATCTCCGAACAAGGCCACTGGCCTTGATAACATTTCATGTCGGCTTCTAAAAGAAGCTGGCCCAATTGTTGCCACTTCTTTAACCTGTATCATAAACAAAACCATAGATACTGGCCTCTTTCCTTCACAGTGGAAAATGGTTAAAGTATTTCCTTTGTATAAAAAGGATGATCGCACAGACGCACAAAATTATAGACCAATATCTGTCTTGCCAGCCATTTCTAAGATTTGTGAAAGGGTAGTCTATGATCAACTATACGGTTACTTAAATTCAAATGGCCTGTTAACAAAAAAACAGTCTGGATTTCGTTCCCTTCACTCTACAGTGACAGCGTTGTTACATTTAACAAATAATTGGTATCTTAACATTGACAAAGGCATGACCAATTTGATTGTTCTTCTCGATCTTGCCGAAGCCTTTGATACCGTTTCACATAATATTTTATTTAAAAAAGCTTGAGCTCTATGGTCTGAAGGGTGTAACGCTCGACTTGTTTTCATCGTACCTATCAGATAGGCAACAGCAGTGTGTATTAGAGGGCCGTGTATCTAAGCCCCAGTTGATAAGTTGTGGAGTTCCACATGGTTCAATTTTAGGCCCTCTGTTGTTTTTAATATATATTAATGATCTCCCTGGATGTCTTCTCCATACCAAAGCACACATGTATGCCAATGATACCACGATATATGCGTCCCCTGTATCCACTGCTGAACTATATGCCAAGGTAAATAATGACCTAACTCACGTTAGGGACTGGCTTCTTGCAAATAAGTTAAGCTTAAATGTCACTAAAACGGAGTATATGTTCTTCACAACTACCTTCAAATTATCTAACTTAGGAAGAAACTTTCTAATTTAGATTGGCAACAATCATGTTAAACGAGTCCAAACAACAAAATATTTAGGAATTCACTTAAATGAAAATCTTAAATGGAAGGAGCATGTTGACAAACTTTGTTCAAACGTCAATCGATCCATCAGTGGTCTAAAACAGGCACGTGATTATGTACCTTTAGATGTTCTAAATACTATTTACAAATCTCTTATCCAGCCTGTGTTCGACTACTGCGACGTTGTTTGGGACAATTTAGACCAGGGACTTGCCACTAGGATCC